TACTATATGGGGGATGAATTACTATGGGGGATGAATTACTATGGGGGAATGAATTACTATATGGGGGATGAATTACTATATGGGGGATGAATTACTATGGGGGATGAATTACTATATGGGGGATGAATTACTATATGGGGGATGAATTACTATGGGGGATGAATTACTATATGGGGGATGAATTACTATGGGGGATGAATTACTATATGGGGGATGAATTACTATAGGGGGATGAATTACTATGGGGGATGAATTACTATATGGGGGATGAATTACTATGAGGGATGAATTACTATATGGGGATGAATTACTATGGGGGATGAATTACTATATGGGGGATGAATTACTATATGGGGGATGTATTTTCAGTTTTAAAAATGTGGCTCTCAAAATAAATTTCAATCGTGGTTTTGGTGAGATTTGGCTCAGTTGAAAAAAAAGGTTGCCCACCACTGGTATAGGTGATCAAGTTGTGTGTCAGAGAAGCGGTGCTGCAGATCTCTCTTCCACTCTTGCATAAACAATGGTTTCCCAACTGGGTCATCTGACTGAAGACGCCTGTACAGTATTGAGAGTGAGTGACAGATTGGGGCAGCCATGGAGCATGGGCCAAGTTATGGCTGGCCAAGCATTTCTCCAGAGGAACCGAAAGTTTATCCTTAAGGTGGTGGTGCCATTCCATAATCCTCTGTAGCACCACTGCCTCATAGTAGTGGTGAATGGCAGGGATTCCCCTGACTACCCATTTGCTTAGGGCGCTTAAAAATGTGAATGCCAAACGGCATTCACTTTCCATTGTAGACCCTTACATGTATCTGGGCATCATTGTATTCATGGTGTTTGAATCAGAGAAAGTATGCTCTTCTAGCGGTAGCAGTGAGTACCAGTAGGTGGAAGCTGATGTTCCCCCATTCTGTTGCTAGGACATTGCTATGGTACTCCAATGGTTGATGCCCTCTTCTGTCATCACAAGAGCATGCTTTTCCAGATTCAAACACTCCACATTCTCTTGTGTTTCCATGGTGCTGTGCTCAGCAGCAAGATAGCAGGGATGGTGGAGGCAAGCATCAACAGCTGGAGGGCCACAGCAACATCCTAGCGACAGGACAGGGAAATGCCGGCTATGGGGGTTTTTCAAGCAGGCTTTTGAGTTCCACTTGTTGATGCTTGCCTCTGCCATCACAAGTGCAGATATTTGCCAGCACAAAACGGATCTTTAAGTTGTCCGAATACGGCTTTATTGAAGTATGATCACATCACAAACAGAGTGCAATGTTTCAGAGTCACGCAGGACCTCACACTTCAAGCATGTGATAATCAGCACAAGAACCCAGCCCCCCCCCCCAACAGTGTTCCCTCATCCCACTTCTTAATTATTTATGGATAGATGGAGAACTCTTGCCAAATTGAGTCTTTACCCCAAGTGAAATATGTCTAGCTTCACCACTGAATGGTGCACTGGAGTAAATGGGTCTTTACTCTATAATAAATCAGGATTTTGCTTTCCACCAACTGAGTGCTGGGAGCATAGGAGAAAAAAAGTAACAAGCATCAAGAACAAGGTGCCTTGCATATGGTGCTAGAAAGGCCAGATGTCAAGGAATCCTTCTTTTGAGTGCATAATCTGGACATTGAGCCAGATCAAAACTGATTTAGAAATAAGGTTATTTTCTGCCACGATGCAAGTTATACTAGAACTACAATGCAAACAGTATGGGGATGTAACCAGTAGAATACAAACAAAGAGTGAAAATAAATTAAATTAATACATTTTATTAACTTTAAAAGAAGAACCTAGATTGTAAGCTCCAAGGAGAAGGGCCCTCCTATCCCTCTTGTATTGTTGCTGTATTGTCTCCCGTTACATTGTAAAGCGCTGAGCAAACTGTTGGCGCTATATAAATCCTGTATAATAATATAATAATAAGAACAAATAAGAATCTTTTATTCTAATACTATGTATTAAAACCCAACTGAATCTTGATTTTAAACCAGCTAAATGCATTTACAGGGCAGCAAAACAAATGGTGTGCAACGCCTTAGTTAGTTTTCTTTAGAAAGCAGCTACAGCTTGAATAGAAAAGTTGTTCCCTGACAGCTGTTGCAGAGTGAGAACTTTGCTTTTGTGGTGAAAGCGTGGTCTCATTGTTATCTGATGCACCTGACCAGATATGCATGAAAATTAACAATCTTTGCACAACATAAGGCAAACTTGGAGGGGTAGCCACCACCCACAAGGATATCACTTAAATCCTCAATGCTATAGCAACCTGTCAGGCAAGTCTCACAATGAAAATTGAAGAGTCAATACTGATGAATCTCTGCTGCAACAAGACCTCCAGATCTTTCACAGCTGAGTGACTGAGACAGAATTTCACATCAGTCAAATAAAGGACATGCTCTCTCCACAGATTTCAGACATGCTTCAGTTACAAGTCTCCACATTTCAGCCACATACTGATGATCAAGAAGACCACCCCTGGAGGTTCAGTGTGGTGGCACAGACGTGAAGGGCACTAAGACTTTTTTTGGAAGACCTGCTTATCATCTTTAGAGCACTGCACACTCTCCGAAGGCTTCGTTGTAGAACAGTGCCATAGCCCATCACTCCCACAGCTTCCCTCCCTGGCATCTTAATCCTACCCCCACCCCCAATCCACTATTTTCTTCATAGACCTATCGCCAACCACCCCCTAAGCCTTAACTCACTTTCTATTGTAGACACTTTCATTTATCTGGGCATTATCATTTCCTTTAACAATTACATATTATATGCCCTTATTTTGTTTCTCAAAATACTGTATATTACAGTATTCTATTCTATATTACTGTATATATATTATATAGCACCCACACTGCTTCCATCTCCCCACTACGGCTCTTACCACCTCCTCCTAATACTCCTCTCTCCCACCAACCCACACGCCACCACTGGCAGACTCACACACTCCTGCACATCCCGCTCCCATGCCACCTTTCTCACCCTTCTTCTCCTAACCGCCGGTGACATCTCCCCGAACCCTGGTCCCTCACCACTTCACTCACCCACTAGGCACCCTACTACTTCCACAAACTGCCGCAACCCCCTCAACCTAATACCTGTCCCCTTACTCCCCACAACCACCCCTCCATTCTCGTGTGCACTCCTGAACGCCCGATTGGTTTGGAACAAGCTCACCGCCATCCATGACCTCTTTATCTCCCGCTCCCTCAACCTCTTTAGCGATCACCGAAACCTGGATCCAAGCCACTGACTCCACCTCCCCTGAGGCACTCTCCTATGGAGCTCTTGTCTGGAACCATTCACCTAGACCGTGCGGTCGTAGAGGTGGTCGGGTCGGCATGCTCTTGTCACCACTGAAAACTTTCCAGGTCCTCCCAAACCCCCCTCTCTCTCCGTCTCCTCCTTTGAGGCCCACTGCATCCAGCTATTCTCTCCTACCCCCCTGAGGATTGCAGTAATTTATCGGCCTCCTGGACCCGTATCCCGCTTCTTCGACGATTTATCCGCCTGGTTACCCTTCTTCCTCTCCTCGGAGCTACCCACCATCATCCTTGGAGACTTCAATGTCCCCATCAACGTCAATAACCCTGCTACATCCCAGCTGCTCCACCTCACCTCTTCTTTTGCACTCACACAGTGTACACAGTCCTCCACCCACTCCGACAGGAACACCCTGGACCTTGTTTTCTCTCATCTCTGCACCCCCCACTACCTCACAAACACCCCTTTTTCCTCTCTCTGACCACAACCTCATTACATTCTCCATCTCCCCATCCTCAAACCCCCCCCCCCCCCCCAAACATCAAACCATCACCAGTGTCAGGAATGGACTGGCCAGCAATAGTGGGACTCAGCTGCCTTATGAGCTGCAGTACCAGGGCTGGCCAGCGGGTGCTCCCAGCAATCAGAGACTCAACCTTGCAGCCAGTCAAACACCTGGAACTAATTATACTGGTGTATTTAAGGGACATTCAGACCTGCAGACTCTGCCTTGGTGTTGTGTTTCTCTTGGGCCCTGTATCCTGTTCCTGCTCTCTGTTCCTGTCTGATTCTCTGCTGACCCTGCTCTGATCCCTGGCTTGTCTGACCATTCTCCTCTGCCTGACCCTCTGTACCACGCTGCCCGCTACCTGCTGAACCTGGCCTGTGACCCGACCATTCTCCGCTTGCTCCCCCTGTACCTACCTGCCCGACTGATATTGACCCGGCTGCCTGACGACGCTTGCATTGTATGTACTGTTATCTGTGGGTGGTTGGTTGGTTTGTTTGCACTGTGTTATGTTTTAGTATTGCACTGCGTTTATGTTTGTATGGTTAGTGTTAATAAATTACATTGTTTATAACATATCTGAAGTCTGCGTTTCCCTGCGTCAGTCACACACCTCTGGTCATACCCGGGAGCCCTGACATTACACCAAGGCCAATCCTGACCAGAAGTGGCTGCACAGGGAAGCCATCTTGGCTTGTTGATGGGAAGGATGGATCTGGATGAGGTTGCGTATTTATCTCTGCTAGTGTTTGATGACAGGGAGTATGCTTATCAAACTCTGAAGGAGTATACCCGGGATGAACTGCTAGAATGTATACGGCTCGCTCATGTTCTAGTAGATCAGGGCACAGAGTTCTCTGAGTGCAGCCTTTGATTGAGGTTTGTGCTGAGTTGGTTTCATCTGGTACCCCCGAATGCAGGGATGAATTTTTGCCCACATTTAGTGCAGACCAGGTAGAGTCCCTGGTGTGGTTATTAGAGGATGATGTGGGTTACTTTCTGGAGCGTTATTCCACATGTTCACCACAGACACTAAGAGATTGTATAAACGCAGTGCAGTCTTTGGTCAGACAGGCTTTGTGTAAGCTCAGCTTTGTTCAACCCATACTGCAGACATGGACAGATTTGTTGCACCCAGCCTCAGTCAGCTTACAAAAACCCAGTCCTGCTTCTAATCTATTTCCTCAAAACTCTATTCCTGCATTCCCAACAGCTCCTCCTGCCCTGCTATCTACCGCATGTCAGTACCTGTTCCCACTCGCTGCACCTATCCTGCCTTTAACCCTGTAAAAAAAGCCCTCTGTAGCAACTGCTCCCTCTCCTGTTCCATCCTCCAGTTCTTCTCTGTCTCCAGCTGCTCCATTCGTTTGCAGACCTGCGTTTACTTGCAGTGCTCCAGTAGTTAAAACCAGAAAAAAGCGAAAATTCTTTCCAACCAATACCATCCTGCCAGTATCCAAACCGGTGAACCTGCCTTCCGTGGTTCAGCCTGAAGCCTCTACTCAGCCTGAATCCTCTACTCAGCCTGATGCCTGTACTCAGCCTGATGCCTGTACTCCTGTACCTGATGCCTCTACTCGGCCTGATGCCTGTACGCAGCCTGATGCCTCTACTCGGCCTGATGCCTGTACACAGCCTGATGCCTCTCTTCAGCCTGAAGCCTCTACTCGGCCTGATGCCTCTACTCGGCCTGAAGCCTCTACTCAGCCTAATGCCTCTATTCAGCCTGATGCCTCTACTTGGCCTGAAGCCTCTACTCGGCCTGAAGCCTCTACTCGGCCTGATGCCTCTGAAGCCTCTACTCGGCCTGATGCCTCTACTCGGCCTGAAGCCTCTACTAGGCCTGAAGCCTCTACTCGGCCTGAAGCCTCTATTCGGCCTGATGCCTCTACTCGGCCTGAAGCCTCTACTCGACCTGAAGCCTCTACTCGGCCTGAAGCCTCTACTCAGCCGGACGCCGGCATTCAGCCTGACGCCTCTACCCAGCATGATGAACTGATCCAGCCTGACGATCCTATTAGGCCAGTTGACTCGATGCCCGCTGTTGATCCAGATGATCCGGTACCTGATCCGGTGCCCGCTGTCGTGCCAATTGACTCAGAGCCCGCTGTCGTACCTGGTGACTCGGTGCCCACTGCCTTGCCAGATGACGCGGTGCCCGCTGGCGAGCCAAATGACCTGATGCCTGGTGACCCAGTGCCCGCTGTCATACCTGGTGACCCGATGCCCGCTGTCGAGCCAGACGATCCAATGCCTGGTGACCCGGTGCCCACTGCCTTGCCAGATGACGCGGTGCCCGCTGGCAAGCCAAGTGACCTGATGCCTGGTGACCCAGTGCCCGCTGTCATACCTGGTGACCCGATGCCCGCTGTCGAGCCAGACAATCCGGTACCTGATGACCCGGTGCCCACTGTCGTGCCTGTTGACTCGGAGCCCACTGCCTTGCCAGATGACACGGTGCCCGCTGTCGAGCCAAATGACCTGATGCCTGGTGACCCGATGCCCGCTGTCCAGTCAGATGATCCAATGTCTGACCCAGTGCCCGCGGTCATACCAGTTGACTCGGAGCCCACTGCCTTGCCAGATGACGCGGTGCCCGCTGTCGAGCCAAATGACCTGATGCCTGGTGACCCGATGCCCGCTGTCCAGCCAGACGATCCAATGTCTGACCCAGTGCCAGCGGTCATGCCAGTTGACTCGGAGCCCACTGTCGTGCCTGGTGACTCAGTGCCCGCCGCCTGGGGGCGAGACCTGTCGCTCTGCCTGTGGGTCCGCCTGTCGCTGTGGGGGTCCGGCGCCGCCGCTCCGCCTGAGGGCCCGAGACCTGTCGCGCAGCCTGGGGGTCCGGCGCCCTGCCGCTCCGCCTGAGGGCCCGAGAACCTGTCGCCCGAGACCTGTCGCTCCGCCTGGAGGTCCGGCGCCCGCCGCTCCGCCTGAGGGGCCCGAGACCTGTCGCTCCGCCTGGGGGTCCGGCGCCCGCCGCTCCGACTGAGGGCCCGAGACCTGTCGCTCCGCCTGGAGGGCCCGAGACCTGTCGCTCCGCCTGGGGGCGCCCGCCGGGCCCGAGACCTGTCGCTCCGCCTGGGGGCCCGAGACCTGTCGCTCCACCGGGGGTCCGGCGCCCACCGCTCCGCCTGAGGGCCCGAGACCTGTCGCTCCACCTGGGGGTCTGGCGCCCGCCCCTCCGCCTGAGGGCCCGAGACCTGTCGCTCCACCTGGGGGTCCGGCGCCGCTCCGCCTGAGGGCCCGAGACCTGTCGCTCCGCACTGGGGGTCCGACCGCTCGCTCCGCCTGAGGGCCCGAGACCTGTCGCTCCACCTGGGGCCTGAGACCTGTCCGCGCCACCTGGGGGTCCGGCGCCGCCGCTGCGCCCTGAGGGCCCGAGACCTGTCGCTCCACCTGGGGGTCCGGCGCCCGCCGCTCCGCCTGAGGGCCCGAGACCTGTCGCTCCATCTGGGGGTCCAGCGCCCGCCCGCCGCTCCGCCTGAGGGCCCGAGAGACCTGTCGCTCCGCCTGGGGGTCCGGCGCCCGCCCGCCGCTCCGCCTGGGGGCCGATGCCTGTCGCCCCGCCTGGGGGCCCGATGCCTGTTGCCCCGCCTGGGGGCCCGATGCCTGTTGCCCCTCCTGGGGGCCCGATGCCTGTCACCCCGTCTGGGGGGCCCGACGCCTGTGTCGCCCCGCCTGGGGGCCCGATGCCTGTCGCCCCTCCTGGGGGCCCGGCGCCCGCTGCTCCGCCTGGGGGCCCGATGCCGGTCGCCCCGCCTGGGGACCCGATGCCGGTCGCCCCGTCCGGGGGCCCGATGCCTGTTGCCCCGCCCGGGGGCCCGGTGCCTGCTGCTCTGCCCGGGGCCCGGTGCCTGCTGCTCCGCCCGGGGGCCCGCTGCCTGCTGCTCCGCCCGGGGGCCCGCTGCCTGCTGCCCCGCCTTGGGGCCCGGTGCCTGCTGCTCCGCCTGGTGGCCCGCTGCCTGCTGCTTCGCCTGGTAATCCGATGTGCCTCTGCCCGGAGTCCAGCCGATGTGCCTCTGCCCGGAGTCCAGCCCGATGTGCCTCTGCCGGAGTCCAGCCCGATGTGCTTCTGCCCGGAGTCCAGCCCGATGTGCCTCTGCCCGGAGTCCAGCCCGATGCCCGGTGTGCCCGTTGTGCCTCTGCCCGGAGTCCAGCCCGATGTGCCTCTGCCCGGAGTCCAGCCCGATGTGCCTCTGCCCGGTGTGCCGCTGCCCGGAGTGCCTCTGCCCGGAGTCCAGCCCGATGTGCCTCTGCCCGGAGTCCAGCCCGATGTGCCTCTGCCCGGAGTCCAGCCCGATGTGCCTCTGCCCGGAGTCCAGCCCGATGTGCCTCTGCCCGGAGTCCAGCCCGATGTGCCTCTGCCCGGTGTGCCGCTGCCCGGAGTGCCTCTGCCCGGAGTCCAGCCCGATGTGCCTCTGCCCGGAGTCCAGCCCGATGTGCCTCTGCCCGGAGTCCAGCCCGATGTGCCTCTGCCCGGAGTCCTGCCCGATGTGCCTCTGCCCGGTGTGCCGCTGCCCGGAGTCCTGCCCGGTGTGCCAGTCTTTGATATCCCGCCAGTTACCAGACTCGGGCGGTGGAACATTTTGCCCAGCTAGGACTGTTTGGAGCGTCCTGAGGCCGCTCCTTGAGGGGGGGGTACTGTCAGGAATGGACTGGCCAGCAATAGTGGGACTCAGTTGCCTTATGAGCTGCAGTACCAGGGCTGGCCAGCGGGTGCTCCCAGCAATCAGAGACTCAACCTTGCAGCCAGTCAAACACCTGGAACTAATTATACTGGTGTATTTAAGGGACATTCAGACCTGCAGACTCTGCCTTGGTGTTGTGTTTCTCTTGGGCCCTGTATCCTGTTCCTGCTCTCTGTTCCTGTCTGATTCTCTGCTGACCCTGCTCTGATCCCTGGCTTGTCTGACCATTCTCCTCTGCCTGACCCTCTGTACCATGCTGCCCGCTACCTGCTGAACCTGGCCTGTGACCCCGACCATTCTCCGCTTGCTCCCCCTGTACCTACCTGCCCGACTGATATTGACCCGGCCTGCCTGACGACGCTTGCATTGTATGTACTGTTATCTGTGGGTGGTTGGTTGGTTTGTTTGCACTGTGTTATGTTTTAGTATTGCACTGCGTTTATGTTTGTATGGTTAGTGTTAATAAATTACATTGTTTATAACATATCTGAAGTCTGCGTTTCCCTGCGTCAGTCACACACCTCTGGTCATACCGGGAGCCCTGACAACAAGCCATAACCTCCGCATCCTGAACCCTGCCCCTCTTCACTCTGCAGCTGACCGACTCTACAACAGTATCCTTCTACTGTGCTGCCCTGACCTGGCCACTGCTGCTTATAACAACTCACTATCAGCTGCCCTAGACTCCTTAGCACCCCTAACCACACGTAGCATTAGACCCTGACCGATTCAACCCTGGCAGAACGACCACAGCAAAAATCTTAAACGATGCAGTCATGCACTGGAGCGATTATGGCACAAAACCAGATACCAACAAGCGTTCACCCTATACAAATCTGCCTTCCTCACCTACACCTCCTCCCTCCACAATGCCAAACAAGCCTACTTCATAACCCTCATCAATACCCTCTCCTCCAGTCCTCGCCGGTTCTTCTCTACTTTTAACTACCTACTCTCTCCCCCCCCCCCCCCCCCACCTTCACCCAGTACCTCACTCACCGCCCACGAGATTGCCAACCACTTCCAAAACAAGATCGATGCAATTCGTAGGGACATCGCCAATGCTCAGACTTCCACCCGCCTAGCCTCCCTCCCATGCTAACCCCCTCAACACTCCCCTCCTCTGACCTCGCAACTGCCCAGACCCCCACCCCACCTAACATCCCGCACACTAAAACCCCCCCAACACTCCACTCCTTCGACCTTGCTACCACTGAAGAGGTCACTAAGGTCTTCTCCGAAGTCCACCTCACTACCTGTCCCCTTGACGCTGTCCCCACACAACTCCTACGGTCACCCTCCTCCCCCATCCTACGCTCCCTCACTCACATCTTCAATCTCTCCCTCTCTACTGGTACATTCCCCTCCCTCCTAAAGCACACCCCACATCACTCCCATACTCAAAAAAAAACCCTCCCTGTACCCCACCAACCTGGTCAAGCTTAGACCCATCTCCCTGCTGCCATTTACATCCAAACTCCTCGAGCGCTTAGTCTATAATCGCCTAAGCTCCCACCTCAACGACAACAACCTCCTTGATCCCTACAGTCTGGCTTCCGTCCCCTACACTCCACTGAAACCGCCCTACTCAAACTCACCAACGACCTGCTAACCGCCAAAGCTAATGGCCACTACTCAGTGCTCCTACTCCTCGACCTCTCCACGGCCTTCGACACAGTCGACCACCCCCTCCTCCTTAAAAAACTATACACTCTTGGCCTCAGAGAAACCGCTCTCTCCTGGCTCTCCTCCTATCTATCCCAGCGCTCCTTCAGTGTTACCTATAACGCTGCCACCTCCCCCTTCTCTGTTGGTTGGGGTCCCCCAAGGCTCTGTCCTCGAGCACCTTCTCTTCTCCATCTACACCTCCTCCCTTGGCCAACTGATACACTCCCACGGCTTCAACTACCACCTCTACGCTGATGACACACAAATCTACCTCTCTACCCCTCGCCTCACCCTTCAGTCTCCGCCCGAATTACCCACCTGCTGAACGACATATCAGATTGGATGTCACTCCACTTCCTCAAACTAAACCTTTCCAAAAACTGAGCTCCTAGTTTTTCCCCCAGCCCGTGCCCCCCCCCCTCTAACCTCTCCATCACGACCAATAACGCCATCATCAGTCCCTCCCCCGCAAGCCAAAGTTCTAGGTGTCACTCTAGACTCCAATCTGTCCTTCCAGCCCCATGTCCAATCGCTGGCAAATTCATGCAGGCTCCACCTCTGCAACATCTCCAAAATACATTCGTTCCTAACCCCAGACACTACTAAACAACTCATTCACTCCCTTATTATCTCATGACTTGACTACTGCATCTCGCTCCTCACCGGCTAACCTCATCACAGACTATCCCGCTACAGTCTATCCTGAACTCTGCGGCCAGACTCATCCACCTTACCAACTGCTCCGTATCCGCCACCCCCCCCCCTGTCAGTCCCTCCACTGGCTTCCGATTGCCCAACGCATAAAATTCAAACTTCTAACATTGACATACAAAGCTATTCATAATACTGCCCCAAACTACCTCACCGACCTGATATCCAAATACCACCCAAAAACGTTCTCTTTGCTCCTCACAAGACCTCCTACTCTCTAGCTCCCTGGTCTCCTCCTCCCATGCCCGACTCCAGGACTTCTCCAGGTCTTCCCCCATCCTCTGGTGCTCACTACCCCAATCCATCAAACTGTCACCTACCTTCCTCACCCTTAGGCGCACCCTGATAACCCCCCATCTCTTCAGAGAAGCCTACCCTGCCTTCACCTAACTGCTGATCTCCTCCACTCCTCCTACCACTCCATCCCCCACAGCCATTTTCCTCCTGTACTACTATCCCTCCCTCCTAGATTGTAAGCTCCAAGGAGCAGGGCCCTCAAACCCCTCGTGTATTGTATTGTCTCATGTACTGTCTCCAGTATAATGTACAGCGCTGAGAAAACTTTTTATATAAATACTGTATAA